ACCTGGACCCATGGGTGATGCTGGACCACCAGGTAATCCTGGACCACCTGGACGTGCCGGTGAACCTGGAGCAGATGCGCAAGGCGGTGGCGGAGGAGTTGGACCTCCAGGCCCTCCTGGACCACCGGGACCAGGGGGACCTCCCGGAGGTGATGGAATGCCTGGTGGCTTAGGTGGACCAGGAATGATGGGACCGCCTGGGTTTCCTGGAGAAAACGGCCCGCCAGGAGATATGGGAATGCCTGGAACGCCGGGAGCACCAGGAGCACCGGGAGGCGATGGTGAGTTTATTTCTATTCAAAGTAATTCAGGAATTGAAATTCGTGGCCGCAATCATATTTCGTGACTTGAGTGATTCAGTTGCGAAGCGTGAAGCAACTGCTAGTGGCCGTGCTTCACCCCTTGTAGTTGGATCTCAGTGGCCGCTAATTCAGCTGCATTCATAATAGAGCGCTCCAACGCGTTGCATTTGCCCAATGATTAGCAGTGGAGCGCGTTCAGTTGCTAAATTGCTCGAGTCGCAAAGTATGAACGTGGTTAGCGCTTTGAAAAGCTGCATTTCAAAGGTTTTTTGTTTAGGAATCTACTGTCCATGTCCCAGGCGCACACTTTCGACAATCAGGCACAGAAGCATGTCAAAGGTCAGCCATCGAATTTCCTTTATTCACACTGATTTTTACGGAAAATTTCTCCAGAAAAAGATGTCGAAAGTCTGACTTTTACAAATTTTTTTTTCAGAAAAAGATGTCGAAAGTGGCCTTCAATTAGTTGTGGACGAACCACGATTTCTTCCAGTGCCAAGGCTGGAAATCGGTGCTTGCGACCTTCGGCCACTCTGCCCTTTATCCTCAGATTTACACGATTTTCTGCTAGAGGGCCGTATAAATGTAGTACGCAGACTGTTTTACAGCGCACATTTCCTGCTAAAGGTGAACTTGATTGATATACTGAACAGCGCTGTTTTGGCTTAACCCACGAGCAATTGAGGCAGAATCTAACGTAGAGCAGCTACGTTGGGGATGGGTGGGTACCAGAACTCGAAGAACTCACAGGAGCACCAGCTCCAGCTTTAGCTTGCACTCTGTAATCATCGTACAATCAACTGCTTCGGAATGGCTCTACGATTCTGGTAGGGAGCTAACGAGGTAAGTAGGTCAATCAGCACCTGAAAGATCCTTCTGATCACTGAAAGAATACCCAATGGCTGCGTCTATGGGTGCGGGCCAGACGTGCGGAAGCCACAGCCGTTATCATTGAAATCACTTGGGCGTGTCAGCGACGCGTCGATTTGGGTGCAGTGCCAGCTTGTTTTCAATCGATTGTTGCTGCT